AAATGCCTAAAACTATTCGTCCCTGGTCGTCTTGTGTTCGCGGGGGAACCCTGGGTATGCACTAGATACAAAATTGGACCGCTATAAGCATTTTTCGAATTTACTATTGTGTTTGCTTGAACAAGTATTGTTTCGGTTGCAGACGATGCAGCCGTACTTTCTCCCGTCGAAGGAGGGGGTTGTCCGTTGTTGTTGTTGGGTGGTGGGTTAACCATCTTCCCAGTGTATTTTCTTTTTGGTATAGGTTCATTAGTTTTGGATAATTTTCCACTCCTTAATCTAATGCAACAAGGTTAGACAAACAAATTGAAACAAAATGGCACAAAACAAAAACTTTGTGAAACAAAACAAAACACTTGTCCCACTGGGCGTACAAATTTGTTAACCGTGAAAATTGGTAAACAACTGCTAGTCTTCCAAAACGAGAAATATTTGGTTACTCACAGGATCAACTATATTGATCCTAGGACATGTGTTTTGTTTCAAAGGTTTGTATATTTCGAATGTTCATCTTTTCAAAGGGTATGGTTACTGTGTAAATGACAGAAGTTCTATGTAAAGTGATTATAGGAAAATAAAAGGGCTTGGACTTAAAAGTAAAAGGAATAAAAAAGACTTTGATAAATGTATTGACAATTAAGTAAAATGTGATGATTCATACGTACATTCTCAATGACTTTTTTCTTTAACACTGGTACTTCGAGTTTATCTGAGTAATTTGTATAAAAAGTGAACACAGTGAGTCATAATAAAAAGATCCCTATTTATACTAATTCGACCCTAACGGTATTACTCTATAGAAACACAACGTCCGACGCTGCATGCTTCCTTGAATCCTCAGGCTTCCACACGTCCTTCTGGATAAGATCGAAGCATTCGAATTCAAATATGTCTTTCGGTTCAAAGCGCCAAAAACACAAGCATGGCCTGTTGAATTGTTTGAATTTGAAACTTGAAATATTTTAAGTCTTATATATTCCACAATAATAAGACTTTGTCAACACTTAATTACTTTCAATCTTTATTTGGTCAGTTAGTCGAAGACCATAGGTAATAACCTTCACATTTCCTTTGCAAAATTAAACTTTCTTTGATATCCATTTAATTTTCCCATATTATAAACCGTAAAAATTCCAGCCAACAGGTGGAGACTCTTGCTTATTTGCGAGTTAAGTTAATTAATAGCTTAATGTTCAATTTTCATCGCTACAACTAACTTAATTTCTGGATCATCTTACACAACCTCAAACTTATAATTAATGATTTATAAGGATGGGATTGAGTAGAAATTTGAAAAGTCAAGATGATGTGATCAAAGATATGCCTGGGGGGGGGGGGGGGGTGAACAAAAAGTTTGATAAGTATTGGAGTGAATATTTAATTACTCTTGCACTTGGAAATATTCTAGACCCAACATCAACGTTGGACTTTTTGAACTTTTTCTTTAAGAAACTTGATCCAAGTGGCTACGAAGGCAAGGTAAAGAAAGTGAAGGATGACTTGTATGATCTCTTTGATGCATATAAAAATAATATGGTTGCAACAAGTTCATCAATAAATACTCAATCTCACTCTTTTGGCTAACCATTGGGCAAGATATGATTTTTGAAGGTAAGTTTTAATAATAAAATTTAATTTATACTCATTACATTACTTTATTTTTCTATTCAAGCCTAATTTTAATAGTTTTTTGCATGTCTAATTTTAGAAATACCGACAATAAAAGATACAAAAGATTTCCAATGATGGCAAATTTGAACTTGCAATATACTTGTGACATTTTAAGCATTCCAATCACAACAGTGACTTCTGAATCTTCATTTAGAAATAGAGGTTGTATTTTTCATAATTATAGGAATTGCTTACTCACTCACATTGTTCAAGCTTTAATTTGTATGCGTAATTGATTGTATGGTTTTAAAGATGTTGGACCTTCAGGTAAGTTTTAATTGTAGTTAATAGTCTTTGTATTTTATTTTAAATTTACATTTGTTAATATAATCATTCCAAGAAAATAGTCTTGAAAATATTATCATGATCTTGTTTCCTAACATTTGTTTCAAGTTATTGACTTATCATGTATTATGAATTGTAGATATAGTAGAAGTCGAGGCAGTATAATTGTTGGATTCACCAAGTGTTCAAGAGACTTAGGCCACAATATTGTCTACTTTATAATTTATTTTGTTTTCTATTTTAAATTGTTAGATGATTAATAATTTTGTTATGTATGCATGAATTTATTCTATTCTAAAGTTACACTATGTGACAATTATTGGATTCACCAAGTGTTCATGGGACTTAAACCACAAAATTGTCTACTTTATAATATATTTTGTTATCTATTTGAATCGTTAGATGAATAATTATTTTGTTATGCATGAATGTATTATATTGTCTCTAAATTTACAAATTAAAATTAATAATATTGAAATATATAGGTGGGCCTGGCCCATCGGGCTGCACGACCCATAAGGAACTGGATCAGGCTCAATTTTAATATTCCATGAAGTAATCGGGCCAACCCACTCTAGCCCATTTATACGTGTTGGCCCACTGGGCCGAAGTAGGTTGGGCCGGCCCGACCCATTTGATAACTCTAATAGCAAGCCTTTTTCTAGCAGTCCATCATAAAATCATCAATTTCTAATTGCTGGTCCTTCATGCATGAAATTGCATGACAGCATGACAACCCTGTCAGCATCCACCTTCTACAAGTACATTTAGTTTTGGAAAGATTAACACTAATTTTTTCTCCATTATATGATGCATTCCTAACCTCATAGTCATATTCACCTGCAAGCCTGTAACACATGTACCTAATACAATTATATTAATCAATAAATTGTAACAAATATACATAATACAATTATATAAATCAGTAAATCACCTCACAATCCAATAGTTTGTTTTTTGTGACTCTTTTCCATTCTCTTTTTGATATTTGGTAGAATGTTACCTTTATATTTTACAATCTTCTATCTGTTTGACTCTCAGCTCTGCATAAGATACACTATAATTTCTTTAATCATAATGATAATAGGCTTGACTCTTGCAGTCACAAATACTGAGTTAAATGCCTCTAACATATTATTTACCAAGATGTCACATCTTAGACTAATTTTAAGCCTTGATTTGCTCCAGAACCTTGGTGGAATCTTTATAAGGTGCTTGAATGCCTCCTCATTAACACTCTTGAGTTCAAGCATGATTTTTCCCCAAGCATTATCCTGAGTAGCAGTTGTAGCCTTCCACATAAGTTCCTTCAAATTAAGACCTGGAAGTTCTTCTTGAAATTGCTTTATAAATGTCTACAGACACGGAAAATGGACTAAAGTGAATGCAATGAGTGCAGTCAATGGACTAAAACAAAAACCATTGATAAAGGGTTAATAAACTAAAAGAATGCAGTAATACTTGACACGAAACTTTGGTAAACAATTCTAGTACCACTCCCTTCACACGATCTTTCCACTTCCATTCGCTTACTTGGTCTCCCAACCTTTCCTTTCCCATTACCATTGACTTTACCTTTTTCTTTACCTTTCTTCTTCCTTTTCCCTTTACATTTCCCCTTCCCCATTCCTTTACCTTTTGCTTTTCCCTTTTGTTTTCCATGATCTCCACCAGTCACTTCCTTATTATCAACTACGATCTCTTCAACAATACCTATATCATCATACGAACTTCAAAGTTTACATTCAAAGCACTGTCTTCACTAGCATCATCTCCTTCCTGGTTACAATAAAGTACCTCCTGACTTCTTGATAATAGTCCAGTCCCTCAATTTCTCCTTGGTTACAATTTGATCCATCCTTGTCTTCTGGGTTATAGTCAATCTCCTAAATGGTCCCTTCCAAAGGAACATCCTCTTATACTTCTACTTAGTTAGTGCCCTCAGTGGTCTCCTCTAAAGTAACATCCTCTTATACATCCTCCTTCATCAAACTTATCAGTTTCTCCATTAATTAAATCTTCAAAAGTATTATTTTCTCCACTATTAAAATCGGCCTCCTTGTCAATTTTTGCATAATTCAAGGCCTTCAAACTATCATTTTCTATTACCTTGAATTATTTTGCTTTTTCATTGGGTCTTACATTATATATTCTAGGGAAAATATTGGTCCTTAAATAATATCAGTTGTGAGAGTGGATGAATGACATATAAATGCATATTCTCATTAATCATTGTTATGGTTTTCATTCTTTTGGTTCCCAAATAATCTTTCAACAAAACAAGCTTATTAATATCCGTTGCATCATGATACCACATACTCTCCACTTTTGAATACCCTAAATCCTTTAAACCACTCAATACTTAAAAATAACTTCAATAGTCAAAGTCTATTTCCCAAACATTCTCTAACCCCGTGTGACATGATTTCATAAACTGAAAAAACTCGCCCCGTGATGGACAACACACTCACACCTCCCAGACATGGTCTAATCAAGCTAAATATTGAGAAATTAGAAGATGCAAAAACGAAAAAGGTTTGATTTTTACAATGTAAACAATAATCATCGTACATTGATTAGAAGACTGGAAATGAACAATTAATGTACGTCTTCAAAGGGATTCGCCTCTCTTCAACAACCTTCATCGTTCTGAATATAAGCTCATGAGCAAAAATGCGCTTTCTTGATTATAACAATTTCTCTCTTAGAAAGTTTAGAATATCTTGACTGAAATATTATTTTTGGGCCATAATGTCATAATAATGTAAGCTCACAAAAATAATCAATTTTTTTTACCACTTTTGTAGTAACACCACAAGAAATATAGGTTGTATTTTAACAAATATATAGGAAGGAACAATTAACAAAACACATAAAATATCTACCTATCTATCTATATACATTAAATTACATAATGATAATTCTTGAACACATATGTTCATACAAAGTCAACTACATTTAAATAATGATAACAAATATGGTTATGAACATGTAGTCATAGAAAAAACGTATGCAGTTGAGTTAAATTATTAATCAGCATCAACTCAGATTTGGCCAAAAATATCAACATAATTGTCCCATTTTCCCTTTTCTCTAGTCTCCCAATATCCACCAACATATTTATAACTCTTACTATTATTTTCCTTAGCAAACCACCTTGGTTTCCAACCAGTCTCTTGCATATCTCTCGCCTGAAAAATTATTGCAACACACTATTAACCAACATCATGCGACATTTCTAACAAAATTTCAAATACAACAATTATATATTTACCTGTCTTTGTCTTTTTTCCAACCTCATTTTCTCAGAATTGGCCATTTCATATTCTCCATTCTCCAAATATCTTTGATCAGGTCTTAGCCTTGAATCTGTTGGTGGCAACTTCTCCTGTTGGTACTCCAAATGTTATTAAGAATTTTTTCATAGATTGATTCAAATGTTGAAGCAAATTACCTTTAAACCAGGTATGATTTCATTTAATGTAAGTGCAAATTCTGTAAAATTGTATCTTGTTTGTTGCTCTGGTAATTGGTTTCTCTTCCACAACATTTGCGGTTTCGATGACACATTGGACCTTTTTCCTTTTCCAGAATATGCTCCAATTACATAATGCAAACTCTCATCCCACTTCCCAAATATAGTTGCTGCTATTTTTCCATTCTTATCTTCAACTATGCCTTGAACCTACAACAAAACTTAAGTTGCATATCACAAGTTACATAGTATGTTCATCAACTTTGCACAACATAATCAATAATTCATTTCATATTATAACTTCATATTTATGTAGTCTAATTTGAAATATAATAATATTTATAATTTCGCACATCTCATAGCATAGCATGCAAACATATTGAGATTCAACCTTTGTCGCTTCAGTTAGTTTAGAAAATAAATAAATTCTCACTAAAAGAAGTAGAAAAAGTACCTGGTGAGGGTTTCTATCAATGATTGATTGCTCTTTGAATTTGACCTTACACGAATACTCACGATTCCCCTCTATGTTCATTGTACCGTAATGATCACAATAAAGTTTTCCTAAAATTAGGTTATAAATGGATGTTGTTACCTGACAACAAATATTAATCAGTTATCTAATCAAAGTTTTTTTTAAGAGATTGTTCTTAAATATTTGTAATTTGAAATAAAATTATACTTTGCTCCAATAAAAGACTTCTCCGTCATCAAACTCCACGGTTAAATAACCGATAGGATCAAGCTGAATCGAACGACCCCAAAATTTACTTTTTAGATTGCTATCACCCCAAAATTTCCAACCTCGACCCTCGCAATGACATGCTACAACCATAGGATGATGACTCACCTAAACAAAATGAATGGTTAGATTTAGGCAAATAGCATGTGCATGTGCAAATTTTCATGAACAAAATCATACATGATGTGTACCTTCTCAGAGATGAATCTTATGCCTTTATCTGGATAATCAGCTTCATATGTTTCACCCAATAATGGATTAAATGGTTTACAACTTCTACCATTAGTGTTTGCATACCCCGAAACTGCAAATGCAGCCACATATAGTATCCTCATTAGATTGTCACCCTGTGTAAAATATGAGAGATTTATCACAAAACAATTCTCAAAAATAATTTACCAAAATTAGTGATTTTATATGCTACTTCATATGCTTATAACTAATGTATCTGAACAATATATAATACATTGAATAACTAACCATTTTACTACATTCATAAGCTTGATCTAGAAGGTGAGAATACTCCAAATCTTCAAAACATTTCTGTAATGAAGAGATTGGCTCATTAAAATAAACTGGAAGACAAACTTTTGTAAGGTCTTTTCCGATATTGTCTTTTATTATTGACCATAAACTAACTCCAGTTTCTTTCTCAATGGGATCAGGTAACTTCTTTCGTCGTTCGATATAAGGATAGTTTGACCCAGTAGGCGATTTAGGATCACATTTTTCTGTTGAACTAAATGTCTCTTCATATTCAGATTCCTGGTTGGATCTCAAATGATCAGATGATCCATTACTTCTAATTGAACTCGTTGAAAGAATTTCGTATGTATCGAAGAATGCGTCGTGCTCGTCATCTGTGTTATCGTCCCTATCATGCTCATCAGAATATTCACTTCCACTTCCATCTAAATCATTTTCAAATAACAAAAACAAATGAGTAAAATTATAGACAAACATGAAAAATTAACATGGTATCCATGAACATGCAAAATGTGTGGATTATCGATCATGATCGTCTTAAATTCTTAGAGGCTCTATGTGTTAACTATGGTTCAAATGTGACTAAATAAATAGAGATCTTGTTTAGTTATGTTTAACTATGACGCATCTATTATGGAGCACTATTTATCCACAATCTTATCCTAAAAAATATGAAGCCCTGTATTATAGTTCATCATACACACACTCAAAGACGGACCTAAAACGTACCACTATAATGTTCATGTGACGAGAGATATGAATCCGCTTCATCTCTTGTTTGTCTTTGATCATCAACTAATGTGTTCTCCAAATCAACTTTCTCTGTCTAAAATAACAAAAATTAACAAATTAGAATAAACCATTAGACTACTATAGAACAATTTATAGTACATTTAGGAGAAATGAATAAAGGTTAATACTTCTAAATTTCGGAGTGTGTCTGTGAGTATTAGCTGTTTCTTTTTAAGGGCAACAATGTATGTATGCAATTGAAGCAACTCCGTTCTCATGATATCTTCACATTCGCGTATAGAAACTTCATTAACACCTTCTTGCAAAAGTCGTTGTCTCAACTTATCAGTAGAAATCACAACAGAAACCGAAGGAGACATGATTTCTGTTGCGGGCGGTAACCGAGGATACATGTTTTTCACTGTCATCATTGCTTCCATCCACATTGTTCTATCCTCTTTACTCTCTGCTCTTAAATGTATTCTCTTCTTCGTCCCGGTGCATATGCAAAACCTCCTTTCATCTGACTTGTTCTCTCGCACCGAACACACCTACTCCAAGCACATTAACAGTTATATTTATTGAATAATTAATATATCTGAACTAAATTTTGTCTTATAATAAGGATATCACAGAGAGAGTGAGATACCATTAGGTGGATTTCACTGACAGGATTTTGACGACGGGAGGGACAATGGCGGTTGCTGGCGATACGGCGGATAGACTCGTCACCGATGACTTTTGATTGGTTTTCGACGTCGCGGTTAAGAATAAGCTTATCAGGACCATGGATTTTGTAATAAGATAAAACACCGTCATGAAGGATAAACCACCTCGGCCTCCACCCTCGGCCGTAGTTTACCCACTTATACAAGATACCGGAGATTCCGTTACCGACTATATCATTTAGCATGACCTCGCGTGAGGAGTTTTTACGAGCCAATCTAGCAGAGGCTGATCGTTGAACCGCGCGGCTCGACGAAGGGGTGCGGTCGATTCGGTTGCAGGTGGAGAGGGAGCGGAAGTTTGGTGCCATTTGCTTCATGGATGATGAACCGGGTTCATCGTCTCTTTCTGTGTTGTGAAAGGAACTCATGGGAATATTGGGCAATGGAATGTGATGAGAATCTGGATTTGCGTAAACTTGTTTTTTGCTTAGTATTTTGTGTTCTATTGTTGTTGTGATTGGAGGAGCTTTCTTAACGGCCGAAAACCATGCAAGAGTGGTTTGTATTGAAAATCGCACTTTTTTCTTTTTCTTTCTATCTATTTATTTTTATCTTATTTTTGTTTGTGACGCTTAAGATAACATTGACCAATCTTTATAGTTTAATGATTTGTTTTATACGCTCACTTTACCAATCTAATGAGATTATATATATTATATTTTTTTGTTTTTGTTTTTTTTAACATGCTCTAAAATAATATATGTTCTTGAATTATAAATGAAAATTTTTCTCAAATTTAATTACATAGTAATAGGAAAAAAATTATTCGTATAATATTTTTATAAAAAATATTTTTAATTATCTATATTTTAGCGAGTATAATTGGTGTTCACTATGATGCAACGATAAACTAATATGGATCGCACATCATTTACTCATGATTGCTTTCACTATCTTCTCACGAGGATGATCGAGCAAAGTTTCAAGAAGACACCAATATCATCGTTGAAGATTATCGGTGGAGAGAATCTAGCTCCTCATAGAGATGATATGTTTGACCAGTGTTAACAGCAAACATCACACTTAGAAAAACTTTCAGCGTCTGCGACAGGGACTGAGAGCCCATAATCACCTTTTCAAGAGAAAACGTGATCGACGTACTCCCCCACAATAATGATTTCATTGTGACCACAATTTAGTATGTCAGTTGGGATGTGAAGCGAGTGTTCATCGATCTTGGTTGCTTCAGCAGACAACTAATCAATTATTTGAAGAAGGTGTGTGATTTGTCTGAGCGATTTAAAACGTTTGAGATAATTGATGTACCTAGATAAGAAAACATTAAGGAAGACCTAATGTCCAAGCTGACTAGTATAAAGAAATCAAGGTTCAACCACACTATAATACAAGAAACGCTCGACATTACTAGCATAGATGCAGGGGAGGCAAACACTATCATAACGCACTGACTATCGGTTGGATGACACCTATAGTCCATTATCTACAGTCAGGCGAAATACTTTAAGACGATTAAGAGGCAAAGCAAATCCACAAGTGTGCAATAAAATACATTCTTATGCCGCTTGCAGTTCTACAAAATGGGAAGAGCCCCTCTAAGATTATGACATAAAGCATCTGCTGCTTTTATTGGCAGAAGATTGTGTGCATGTCCGGTTTACCAGAAATTATCGTCTCATATGGAAGACTCAGCATCAGACCGTCAACACCGTGTAAAATGACTAGCATACAAACAAATTCAAAATATTCATCAATCGGACTCTTGGAGGTCCACCATTACCTTCCTAGATTACAATTCACATGTCTCCCACTAGAAAGAGTCATACTCAACTAACTATTTCCTTCACTAGAAGAACATGTACTGAAACTTTTAATATCAGGACATCAATATCATGTAAAACGGACAAACATGCAAACAAATGCAAAAAATTCACCAATCAGACTAAAAGCACATTATTCAAAAATCTATTACTTGTCTTTTCAAATGTTTGTGTGATTATAACAATTTTTCAAAACTAACTATATCACACTTTTCACACACAAAGCTATTCTCACTACTCACATTTGAATCTTTTCAACCCAAAACATGGATGAAATGGTTGAAAACATCTCTATCAACTACAGTGGATCACTCAAAGGATGTTAGTGGCAATAGAATCATAAGCAAAAGCAATGGAAAAGGATCAGTTTTTATTGATAAAGAAACTATTACAAATCCAAAATCATACTCAGAGGGGTGTGGTGGACCTTTGGGAATCCAATTGATAAAATTTTCAATTTGTTTGTTTCTTAATCCATTTTACATCAGATCATCAATATTGTGTAAAATGGACTAACATACAAACAAATTCAAAATATTCATCAATCAAACTCCTTAATGTCCTCCATCACCTTTCTAGATCACAACTCATGCGCCTTCCACTAGAAAGGGTCCTACTCAACTAACTATTTCCATTACTAAAAGAATACATACTATAATTTTCAATATCAGATTGTCAACATCGTGTAAAAGGGGCTAACATACAAACAAATTTAAAAAATACATTAAATAGACTCTCAAAGGTTCACCATCACAATCTTATACCATAATTCACAAGTCTTCCATTAGAATATGTCCTTCTCTATTGACTCAATCCTTCACTGGATTAACACCGACTATAATTTTCAATATCGAATTGTCCACATCCAATAAAATGGACTAAGAAACAAATAAATTCAAAAAGTTCATCAATCATACTCTTAGAGGTACACTATCACCTTCCCAGATCACAATTCACATATTTTCCTATTGAAATGGTCCTTCTCAACTGACTCTTTCATCCACTAGAAAACACGGTCTAAAATTTTCAATATCAAATCGTCCACACTGTGTAAAATTGACTAAGAAATAAACAAATTCAAAAAGACTTCATAGTTAACACCAAGACCCGATAAAATGGATCGAACAAGATAGTGACTTTGCTAACACTCTAGAAAGAACCAAGTTGGACTCTAGGGGGCTTCTAGCAAGAATGTAAGAGTTTTCACTAGGGAGGGATGGACGAGTTGCCTTAGTTCTCAAGATTAATTTGGTCTACAATGAAGGATCTAGCCTAACCTTGCTCACTTGACACCAATGTCAAGGAAACAAAGTAAAAGGACTTTATTGCATAGACAACAAACTTAAAACAAATTAATGGTCATAAAGATCCATACTATGTTAAGGAAGCATCAACACTAATGGAAATTGATTAGTCTTAAACATATAGATATCTCATACTCATATATATATATATATATATATATATATATATATATATATATATATATATATATATATATATATATATATATATATATATATATATATATATATATATATATATATATATATATATATATATATATACTGTGATTGACATTATGTTTGGTAAAGCTAATTTAACTTAGACATGTTGAATGAAGATGTTCTATTAAATGAAGCAACATGTCAAATGCGATGTCCTATGTTGGTTCTTTCGACATTGTGGTTTTGTACAGTTGAACTGTTTGAGATTTAGTTTGTTATAGGTGTATAATATTTTATATACTATTATCTATCCTATGTGGTGCATGGTTTGAAGATTTAAAAAGATTCAAGCTAATTTCAAGGAGATTTATTAGTTTCTAATTATGGAGATAATCGAGGAAACTAATGATTGATTTCCTATCTTTGAGGAGATAATTCTCCAGTGGCTCTGTCATATCCAACTGCATATGTGAAGCCCAAATCCAAATCATTAAATATTATAAATAGAGGGCTTCAACCCTAGTGCAAGTGTCGAACTTACATTGTATTGTGTTAGGGTTTGTGTGTTTATTGTAAGCCTCTCGGTTATCATATTGATGAACAAGTAGGACTTTGTTTTGAGTTGTAATTTCTGTCATTCATTCCAAAGCTTTTAAGCAGTGAACGATTGTGTGTCTTTGAAGTGTGACTTTTGTGTTTAGAATTGGTAAGTCACTGGGTTGTGATTGTAAGGGATTTGAGAAAGGTCTCATACCTAGGTGAGTCTTAGGTAGAAGTTAAGAAATGGTAGTGATTAAGTGAGAAGTTGTAAATGGGGGAGTTTAGCTTAGAATTGATACTATTTTAGTTAACTTGGTCCCTGGTTTAGTAGCCCTCATAGTAGGTGTTGGTGTACACCAAACTAGGTTAACAATCTTGTGTGTTCTTTACTTTTCTGCACTTTGTTTATCATATACCTTGTCATTGTGTGTTTGTTCGAAGAAAGGTGTCTCGGCATCTTTTAGGATATATGAGATATGAATACCAGAATTTCATATAGGTATCAGAGCAGACAACCTGCTCTGACTCTGGGTGAGGTTCAGGGGAGATACTTTCTGGTACAATGGACAAGGAAGGAGGATTTATGAACAGACCACCCATCCTCGATGGAACCAACTATGACTATTCGAAAGTTCGTATGGTGGAATTTATCAAACTCGTGGACAGCAATGCCTGGAAAGTTGTGGTCGATGAAAGGGATCCACCAATGGTTGTAGGACCTGATGAGAAAACAAGTGATGTGGTGAAAGCTAAGGAAGATTGGGATGATAAAGATGAATAACAATCTCAAACAAACTCTAAAGACTTGAATTCTATGTTTAATGGAGTGGACAAAAATATCTTCAGGCTGATATGCAATTCCACTACCGCCAAAGAAGTCTGGGAGATCTTGAAGACTACTCATGAAGGAACATCTAAGGTGAAGATGTAAAAAATTCAGATTCTTCACATGAATATTATTGAGATAGCCCGTTCCTCAAGTGCCCTGGGGGAGAAGATGTCTAAAGCTAAGTTGGTGAGAAAAGTTCTCAGATCATTACCAAAGAAGTTTGACATGAAGGTGACTTCCATTGAAGAAGCCCAAGACATAAACAATATGAAGGTGGTTGAGCTTATGGGGTCCCTACAAACCTTCGAGTTAGGAATAAATGAAAGATATGAAAAGAAGAAGAGCATGGCTTTTATTTCTAATGTTAATGATTCAAAAAATGAATGTAACTTGGATACAAGAGAGGGTATATCCAATGCTACTGTGTTACTTGGGAGATAATTCAACAAAGTAATGAAGAAGGTCGAATGGAAGTCCGACCAAGGAAGAGGAGCTCAGTGTCATGAATGTGAAGGGCTTGCACACATAAGAAATAAGTGTCCAACCTATCTCAAGAAGAAAAATAAAAGCTTGTGTGTGTGTCTTGGTTTGAGGAAGCGACTGATAGTGATCGTGAAAAAGAAGGTGTCAAACCAGTCAATGCCTTAGTTGGAGTTTGTAACTCTGATGAAGCCTCAGACTATGAAGGATTAACCTTTAAAGAACTTGATGCTTTATATAATTAATTAATCTCAACGTATAAAAGAGCGGAAATAAATTGTTGCTCAACTTCA